GTGCAAACGCACCCTAACGCGCCGAGTAACCTCAGGGAAGGAAATTCCTAAAATCTCTTTATAGGTAGACAGCTTTGATTTAGTTAAATTGCCGGAAACGTTTTATTTATTATCACTTATTCTCTTCTTCGTCTATAATAACATCTCTTGTATTATTTTTATTTTTCTTATAATATTTGCTTTATTCTCATAACGTTTATCTCTAGGTATAAACAATAAAATATTTAAATTCTTTAAAAAAGTTCATTTTTATATATAGATTGACTTATTTACAGTATCGTGGCTATATAAAAACCCTCATACTGTTCCCATATTTACTTCTAAACTTACAATGAATTTTTAAGAATTTCTTATAAATAAATTACTATACATAATTAATTTTAAACAATTTATTAAATACCACACACACACATATATATATATATATATATATATACATACATAAATAATAGTAAAATATTTAATAGAAATAATATGAAAATAATAAATTATAATTCTTAAGAAAGTATTGAAAAATCAAATTTTCCGCCATTTTGTAATCTCGATTCTTTGAAGCACGGAGCCTAAATAACAGGAGGACGATCGCAATGTATTACAAATGTTCGAAAATGAGGGGACAGATCTTTTGCCACTAGAGCGCGTTAGTGTGGCTAATGTCAGGTTTTTAAAACTATTGTCGCAAGAATGTAACAATCGTACTCACGCGTTAGTCAAAATAAATTAACCAAATCTTATAATTAACGTTAAAAATAGCAATAAGAAAAATTTTTTTATTTTACAATTATTCTCAAGATATTATCGTCAACTTGTTATGTAAATCTATTCAATTTCATTTTACCTAGTCGCAGTTGATTAAAGGATGGATAACTAAATTGAAAAAGTCCAATTAAAAGTAAATTGTAATTTATTATCGTAAATTGCACTTTTTACAGGACTAGACTTTTTAACATTTGCATCATTGCATTTTATTATATTAGTGATTAATAATTATCAATTAAGGTTATATTACCTGTGGTACAGTGAATAAAGACGTATTTCTCTGATTTAATTTAGCATTCTTATTACGATCCTTGACTCGTTCACTTGTACACTCATGAATAATACATTTATTTACCATTTTTAAATAAATGTTACTTTTTATAAATTAAAAAAACATTAATACAATTGTTATGATGCACTATTGTAAACAATTGTCAATGAAAAATATGACGTTAAAACCTGACATTAGCGAACATAAGGAGACCTAGCGACGTATTTCCGATAATGATCTTTCCTTCTTTTCCAGTCGCGTTTACTAGATATTTTCCTATGTCGATCGCCCTCCTGGTATCTAGGCTAGGCTCCGTGCTTTGAAGAGTCTGAAGTTATATTTAAAAAGAAATAAGTGTAAGGGGGGAAGGAGCATACATTCAAGACACATTAATGTCAATTGGTGGCAATCGTGAAGAGGTACACAGGGTGCGGCAATGTTCAGTCGATTACTTGCGTTCGTTGTCTCCGTCGTCTTCGCCGTCACTGTGTCGTTGTCATCGTCGATAGTCGTTTGTCGTCGTCGACAAGATAAGTTAGTTAGAGTGAGAAAGAGTAACAATGCGGCTTGTACTCGTCATTCGTCGTGCTCTAAACAAATTTATTATTAGTCATTTATAGTGTAAGAGTGTGAGTTGCGTTTGTACATATATACATATATATATATATATATATATATATATATGTATATTTTTCGCATTTAAATATAAGAAATCATTTATCATCAAAGTGTAACTCTGGTAGCCGTTGTTCGTTTAACTTGTAACAAATTTGATCGAATTTCTATTCGTATATATTTTTAACATAGTTTACATTTAAAAATATAAGAAAAGTGTTCATCGTCAAGTGTAATTTTATTGTGATAGAATTTGTCTAAATTATAATTCGTTGATTCGTAGCTTAGCGAGGTTATCGCTTTGATGGTGCATAAGAATAGACCGATGAAAATTGTGTTGTGCGCCTTTCGTACGGAGTGTGAGATCATAGTCGAAACATTATGACGGACGGTCGCCCTTGCTACGATACGAAGGATCGTCCCTTCCTTTTCCCTTCTCTTCAAACATTATCCTATAGCCTATCGGAAAATAATCAAATAAGTGATGAACGTACGTGAGACAAACTAAATTCTAAAACATTGTCCTTGGTTATTACAAAGTGAACACTTTATTTAGACAGTTACATTAGTTTTTAAACGGAAGGTTATTTTTCGACACGATTTCACCTAGGATTTTTTTAACCTAAAAATCAACGACCATGAAGAAACAATTTTTCAGGGTTAAACAGCTCGCCGATCAAACTTTTTCCAGGTAAATAGTTATTCCTTTTCATGTTTTTTATATTTTAAAGTTAAAAAAGCAGGTCTGAATGTTTCTCTATCTTTTTCTATCTTTGGATTGATTTACCTTGAAATTGAAAAAGTCAATTTAGTTTTTTTTTCCTTTGGTAACTTATCAAATTTTATCTACTTTCCTTTTTTCTTGACAAAAAAATGTTTAAAATGAAGATAGTATGTAATACGATATTTGTTCAATCATTATAAACTGAACTTTTTAGTTTTTTTTGCTAACTTTATAACAAATATCGATAATATGTTTTCTATTGTGTTATTGATATTGCACGTTTAAAGGTTATTGACAGTCTAAAAAAGGAAGATTGAAAAGCATGCACTAAAATAAACCATGAGTCAGGATAGATATCCAAAAAGTAGAGTTATTCTTGTAAAAGCTTCTTCTCTTTAGATTGACTAACATTTTCACTTCAAATCATACTTGTATCAATCTTTTACATTATTAACTTTCACATTTATTTATTTGATTAATTTGTCTTATTTTAAATAGAGCTGGCAAAACAGAAGTTTTGACAGATGATTTACAAGCTGCGGATAAACATGTAGAGCAAATTAGAGCAGCTCTTACGGGTTTAAGTAAAAGACTTGGTAATCCACCAAATCAAGCGATTGCACAGGAACCTGCATTTAAGGAAAAACGTTTGGTAAATTTTAATAAACTTATTTAAAGAAACAAAATTATCTAAATGCTATTAGTACTAGATTATATGCGTTATTTTATTAATGTATTTATAATAGTAAAACGTTTATACATATTTAATATTGTCAAGTATAATTCTATTATGATCTGTTTGTCTATATTTATATCGGTTTGTCTATATTTCTTTGTTTATTCATAAAAGTAAGCACATAAAATTTATTTCTTATTTATAATAATATTAAGAATAATTATAGTAAGATCGACTACAATAATATGTATATTTATTATAGAGAAAATGTCCGGAATACATACTTGGACAAACAATGTTAGAAAATGCTACAGAAGATGGCCTTATGGGTTTTACTCTTTTAGAATGTGGAAAGACACAAATGTCATTAGCTAATGAGACTGTCGAACACGAAGCAAAAGTTGAACAATATGTTGCAGCACCATTACAACATATCTTAGATACTGACATTCCAAATATATTGAAACATAAGAGAAATTTGGCACGCTTAATTTTGGATATGGACAGTGCGAGAACACGCTATCAACAAGCTAGCAAGCATAATGCTGGTAACGAATAAATCATTTCAGTAATTCATATGATAATTTCAATAAAATAGTAAATCATGTAAAAGTAATATTACATATTTATGAATGTAGGAACCGGTGCAACAAAAGCAGATAGTTTAAGAGAAGATTTAGAAGAGGCTGAATCTAAAGTTGAACAATGCAGGGATCAATTAGCTGCAGAAATGTTTCAATTGATGTCAAGAGAAACAGAACTAGCACAGACCATCATACAATATGTCAAATTACAGAGAGCATATCACGCAAGTGTTTTACACTGTCTTGAAGATCTTATTCCTGGATTAGAAACTTATATCAGTTAGTATATAGTTTATATATTTTTGGTACTATATATATACTGATATATTTGATTCTGATTTTATAATTTTTGGATTATATTAAAATGTGTATTTATTTCATAGATAATAACGAAATGAAACCTGTTTATGGTTATCCTCTTGAAGAACATCTTAGAGTAACAAACAGAAAAATAGCATTACCTATACAATTGTGCGTATCCGCATTATTGCGTTTAGGTATGGAAGAAGAGGGTTTATTTAGAGTAGCTGGTGCTGCATCCAAATCTCGCAGAATTAAATTGAGTTTAGATGCATGCTGTTTGACTTTATCCACAGTTTTAGAATACAAAGATCCTCATGTTATCGCTGGTGCATTAAAGTCATATTTACGTGAACTTCCAGAACCTCTATTAACATTTAAGTATGTATGATTTTCCTAATATAAACCGTTCTATTTATAATGTATTTTTATTATCATTGTTATTTTATTACTTTTTTTTAAAGGTTGTATTCTGAATGGATGGCTGCTGCAAAAATAACACAAAATGAATCTAGATTACGTGCGCTTTGGGAAGTACTGCACAAGCTTCCATCTGCAAACTTAGAAAACTTGCGGTTCCTAATTAAATTTTTAGCAGTTTTGAGCAAAAACCAAGACATCAATAAAATGTCACCACAAAACATAGCGATCGTTATTGGTCCTAATTTAATTTGGAGCCCACAAGAAGATATAAATACAATAGTGTAAGTCACTTTTTTTAATTATATTATATTATATATATATATAAAATATATATTGTATTATTTCAGAATGAATATGAGTACTACAAGTATTTCTAGTCTTATTGTGGATCAATTGATTACATATGCAGATTGGTTCTTCCCAGGTGAAATAGATTTTGATCGTGATTTAGAAATTGGAATAGTCAATGGTTTGGAACCTCAAGTGATTGGTATGCGTCGCTGTGTTTCTAACAGTAGTCTGAGTGACCACGGTGAAAGTCCACCCCAAGGTAGTCCAAAGCCTGCCGCTCGTAGAAAAAATAAGCCAGCGCCAACACCACCGAGTGGTACAACACCTGATAAAAATGATAAAAAGTGTGATGATAAACCACCTCCGGCACCAGATAAGCCACCCAGACCTTTAATGTCAGCTACGCTTAATCGAGCCACATATAAAGCACAAAAGCATGAAGTTAATACAGAATTACTGACAAGACATGAAACTAATGTAGAAAAAATTGAAAAAAATCCAGAAATCGAAATAAAACATATAGGATTCGAAGGAATACAAGCTCAGGTAGATATTCAAGCTTCGGATAACAGTGAAAATGTTTCCGAAATGAATACTTCGCAGTTTGAATTGGTTAAGAGTAGTGTTGATACAGAAAAATATAAACTAGATACATTAAATGCAGAGTTACACAAGTCTGAAAAAAGAAATGTTCCTGTTTCTCTTGATAAAACAATAAATAATGCAGAAAACGTTCAAATCAAGTCATCTGTAGACGTTGACAATTTGGATGTTTCTTCACTAAGACCTAAGCCATTACCAATAGAAAAACCTGCTCCGTCTACGTTAGAAAGGAGAAGACCAGTTGCTGCACCTAGAAATATTACAAACATAACGCATACTGCAGGTCTAATTATTTAATAAAATTAATATTTTTCTTTATTTTTTCTTTTTATAACTAAATATTGTCATTTAATTGTTAAAATTCTTATAGATGATACAGTTGAATTACGTAAAAAGTCTGATAGCAGCAATGTAACGAATTTAAATGTAGGAGACAGAGCTAGTAAGCCAGCAATTCCTGAACGACCTGCTGGTTTGGTTCGTCCGTCAAGTCTCATAAGACAACAACCGCGTCAGAGTAATGAAAATTTAGACACTGAATCAGGAGTAAGTATTTATTTATATTTAATAAGAAAAAAATAGAGTAGTTAATTTGATGGACAAATTAAGCCCTAATGTATTTCTGTAATAATGTATTTATTATACGAATTCAAAGCAAGTATTGCAACCTGGATATTGTGAAATAGGAATGTGTAAGCCGTATATAAATAATATTTTTTTCAGTTTTTAACAATTAACAATGAATCTAAGTATAGATTAGTTATAAGTATTATTTTGATAACATGTTACATTTTATCTTGCATATTAAAATATAATTTTAATAAATCTACAGCCCCTTACTTTGGAAAGGGCACACGTGTACTCTGTGGATAAGCAACAGGTCAGTATAATACAAGTGCGTGGAAATGGCAATGTGTTGTGCAATCCAGGAGAGAACAATGGCAACACAGCTTCGAACTTGCAGAGAAGTCCTAGTGTGGGTAGTCGACCTTCGTCTATGTCTTTGTACGGTGAACGACCAGAGAAACCTGCAAGACCAGATGTCCCAGACCAGGCTAAGGCACATGCAAGGACTAAATCTGAAGGCAACATTATTGACGTTCAAACACAAACAGAAACTGTAGTTGTGCTTAAGTCACCACAACAACCTGTTCCAGCATCTCCAAGATTTCATCAAAGGCCTCCTAGGCCACAACCACCACCACCTCCACCTCCTTCAACTCGGCCTAAATCCGAACAAGAGAGTACTAATCTTTAAAAAGTTCTATCTAAAACGATAGTTCTTGTAATTATCGATAAAACAATTAATGCATCATCGATTATTTTGCATGTAATGATGAGAGGTGTGTTAGCATAATGCTATAATACTGTGCGATTAGAAAAACAATTTTTATGAATTTTGAATGAAATATTTATGTAACGCATAACTCTTTAAACAATATTATACCTGATTTGCATATCTTAACAAATATTTTTTTATGGCTTATCAAATTTTATACATTTTGTTAAGAGATCAAATATATAAGCTGAAAATTAGCATAAATATAAAAGAAAAAAGAAATTAAAATTCGATTTCCTTTTAAATGCGCGTCCCTTAAAGCGCACAAAATGCAATGTGCATTTAGCTATTTGATAAGATTATCATTTTTAATATATAATATTGTGAAAATGATACGTCCACATAAAAAGGAACTTTGACTAACGTGTGAATATTTCTATTGGAATTGAGCCTTTGAGTGATATGTATAGTTAAATGACCCTGTTTTAAGTATACACGTGTACTCTAAAAGTACATGTTAGTTATACTTGAATTATGCATATATAAAATAATATCTTGTACCTTAACTTATTTGCATTTTTTAATCGTTATCATGGAACGATTACAAAACAATGGATGGTTGACATTGTATAATATTCTATTTTTCAAATAATGTGTGAAAATGTTTAGTTTCTTTTTTCAAGAGTATTATAAACTAGCAAATATTACTTTTGTTGTTTTATAACAAAATTTAATATCTGTGCACAAAACATGTATACATATACAATATATATTCTTTCAAAAATATGTTAAATCACTATTAGCTTTAGTTTGAGAAATTTATAAAACAATTAAGTGCAATTGGAAATAGTACGTATGTTTATATATATGCTCTTTTAATTAAAAAGAAAAAATGTCTATGTTACGTTATGCTGCATTATATTATATACAGTTTATAATTATTTAGCAGATGTGATAATGTACATTTGACAATGAGACGAGTATTATTTGTTATAAATTATAACATGTTTTTATATTATTTAAATTACTAGAAAGATTACGTTATAATTATTGTAAAAAGTTCAATTCTTATACAATGTTTTTTTTCTTCTAAGTATTATTCCAATGTAATATCGTGCAATTAGTAATTAACTATTTCAAATAACCTTGAGAGTATATGTAATATTTTTTCTATGACGAATGAAAATATTGCTTTTACAATTAAATGGTATTCAATGCATTTTAAGATGCGAATGGCAGCTGATCTTGTATTCCTTCACAGACGTATTTGAATCCTTATATTCTGTAAAAGTGTATTTTTAAATTTCAAAAATTATATGTAATCAGTTTTCTTTCTTATTTTTTTTTTAAATGTAATTTAATTTTATTATAATATTGTTATGAAAATAACGCAAATGACAAATCATGCATTTACCTAAGGAGTGCTTAGGCTGTGAATGTAATGGACTATTAAAGGATTTATTTGTATATAAATAAAATGTTTCCTTATCAAAATAATCAGAGTATAATAATAATAATAAATTGCTAAACAATATAAAGGTAACCAAAATATTATTAACACGTTAAATTTATTGGAATAGTTAAAGAATATAATCATTATTACTACAGTACAATTTAATTATACACATAGTCATTTAATTAAAGAATAGCTAGCACTTTTTCATCAGCAACATCTTTTGGTTTCATACCATCATTATCTTCTACAGATTCAGCCCCCATAGAAATTAGATATTCAACCACATCTACATGTCCGCAAGATGCTGCATAATGTAAAGGTGTTTGCCCATCAATATCTCGAGAATTAATATTGGCACCATGCTGTATCAAATATTCAATAATTGCAACATGTCCACGATCTGCTGCCCAGTGTATCGGTAACAAACCATCTTTATCCAATACATTTGTTAAGGTAGAATTTTTAAGTAAAATTTCTCGTACTTTTTCTTGATTACCTTCTTTTATCCAATCAAGAAAAGTTTTATCCGTATCAAGTAATTCTTTTTCTGTATTAGGTAATCTACTAACAGTAATCCATGCACGGGATTCTGTTACTGCATCTGTTTCCCAAGAAGGATTTATTTTGGCCAATGCACATACATAATTATTCATTGCAGTTTCCTGATCCATTTCACCAAGACTGTTCCATGCTACCCATTTTTGTTTCGCTTGCATTTGGTACCAATTCGGTTTGGGAATATTGCATGGGCCAATAGTAGCTTGTTTATATAAACTATATAAATTAAGTAGTTGTTCAGAATCTAGTTCTGATGCAATGGTTTGTACATATTTTGCAGCTTTGTCAAATTTTTTTTCTGTATTTGTTACATCGAAATCATTATTTTCAGCCATGATCAATAGATATGTAATTATTGACTTGTTTAATTTCTTTCAATCATTTTTTGTGTTCTCTTACTTTTATATTGTAATTGTCTATATAATGATCAGGTTGCTGTAATATTTTATCAAATACTGATTTATCAATTAATTCAATAATGCCAAATCCCTTACTAAAACCTGTTTTATTGTCAAAAATTACTTTCGCTTCATGAATATACCCATATTTATCAAAGTAAGATTTAAGTTCTTGTTTACCCACGGTCCATGGCAACTTATGAACAAATATTTTGTATACTTTACGTATATTTCCCATGATATTAAAAAATAACTCAAGTCGCTTTTTGTATATCCAGCAAGTGAATAGTATGATTTTGCATCAAATCGTCTATGTTAATGCCAGAATCCGAAGCAAGAGTAGAAAGGGATATTTGATTACAAGTAAGGCCCCACTTAGTTAATAAATGTTCTATAGACCAATCTGCACTACGCTCTTGATAAGTACATAAAAATTTAGCATGTGGATTCTTTTCCAAGAGATAAGCTACGGTTACAATTATATCTTCAAATAATGTTGGTTCGTAGAAACAGTCAGATCCAAGAATTAAATCTAACGGACCAATGGTAAATAAATTAGAAAGAAATAAACCCCAAGTTATTCCAACTATTCTAACTTTTGATAAAATTCCATTTAACTCGCAGCTCCTTTTAATATGTTGTAAACTTCTTGGTAAATTGGCAGAATCACTCAAAGTTACAATAGCTCCACATTTGCTGGCTAAAATACCAGGAAGAGCAGTACCCGAACCTAATTCTAAAACTCTTTTCCCTATGAGCTCTTCTCTATGCTCCCACAAAAACCAAGCAAGTACTGGCGCAGATGGCCAAGTGTAATAATTATAATTTGCTTGAAGTACCTGAAATGAAATACAACGATAGGTAATTATTAAATTTTAACAGATTAACAAACACGTTAGAATGATACATTTCATTCATTATTTTAGATACTATTTAAATTATTTATAAAAAATACTTATATAAGGTCATCGACGTTTAATCCTAACCAAACAAAATACGTAATACCGGTAGCGAAAATGATATTTATCAATATTATCCAAGATAACATTAATAGAAATTCACATTGTTAATGAATTTCTTACCTCTGGTATACAAATTTCTAAACTTTCGTCTTTCTGTATGCTATCGTGTATTTTTCGCGAACGGAAGAGAAATTTTTTTACTTGTTCAGAAGCGACTCCATCGGACATTAGGCCGTGCGTGGGTGGACTCGTATCGAGCGAAATACTTCCTTCTAAACCTGGCATTACTAACAAACTAAATTCGAATTAATTAGATTTTATTTTTAACATAATTATCGTCTGATCGTTGTACATCCAATTTTTAATCCGATGCACAAATATTAACTTAATACGATAAATATAGTTTCTCTCTTGTCGAGAGTTGTTTTAGATTGTAAAACAACTATGACTAAAACCACACGAGCAGGAAATTCAAATTTTACCCTTCATTTATGTTTATTTTTTATTTATTCCCTTAATTCTTATAGATTTTTTCGATATTTTTATAATTTATAATACATTTTATTAAACATTTTTTATTAATCGATATAAATATAATAAATATTTCATAATTACATATCCATTAAAATGCAATTAATCAGATTTTTATTATAAGTAGTTTATTTTAAGAAGTAAACAACAACTTAAGTCGAATTTTATCGGTAATATTTTTATTTATTTTATTACGATAAAAATATAAATACTATTTTGATAGAAATGTAATTAATTTTTTTCAAATCAATTAATGATTTTAGTGATCTAGAGCAGGACACTTTGATACGGCACTGTTACGCACCTTTTGATTAAAGATGGAGGAGACGAGTAACGAGAAATTCTCGTCGAGAAGACGTTCCGCTGTAATTAAGTCTATTAAAGCAAAGGATGAACGAGTAGCAACATACAAAAAGGTACATTTTCTACCTTTTATCGTGTATCATATATCGTATTATTTCTTGAAATTCTTTTTCGAATATTATTCATTCGCCCGGCTGTTCCTTTCAAATTGAAGTGTTGTAAACAAATCACTGCAAAGAATGACAGGCGTCAATTTTAGGTGGCTGCGATACTGCAAAAACCTGAAATTGACAGAACACCGGAGGAGGTGGATATACTCGTCTCTTGTAGTGATGTAGTGAAGGAGGTTAATTTAAGGTATGGCCATTTTGTAAAATCTCGATTGCTTTGATATATCTAATTATGCTATTATTCAATATTTCATTCTAATTAGAGCGAACCTTATGGCGAAATTATTTGTTTATTTCCTTTGTATTTTTAGCATTTCTTTGATATTATACATTAAGAATTTATATTTAAATATAATATAAATGACGAAAGGAAATGTATATTATAAAAATAATGTATATGACAATTTGTAACATGGATATGTTTATTTTTTAATTTTACATCATTTTTTAATGACAACTTTCTAACTAATTTTCTAGACAAGAAAAAAGGGATAGGGTTAAAGCAAGATTGGAAGAAATTGAAGATGTACCAGAGATTTTGGAAGAAAAATGTATTAGGTTGGCTGCCGCTATTAGCAGAGCAACTTCTCTTGCTGTTTATACCGGTGCAGGTATTAGTACGGCAGCATCTATTCCTGATTACAGAGGAACCAATGGCGTGTGGACTAGGATGCAACAGGGAAAGGATATTGGGTAAAGTTATTTTATAATAATATATTGAATAATATATTTTGTAACAATAATAATCATATTTTAATAATTATATTGATTGATCGTTTATAGGAATCATGACTTGAGTCAGGCTGAACCAACGGTAACACATATGGCTTTATATGCTTTGTACAAAGCACGAGTATTAAAACACATTGTATCACAAAATTGTGACGGACTTCATTTGCGTAGTGGTATACCACGCACTCTTTTATCTGAAGTTCATGGAAACATGTATGTCGAAGTTTGTAGAACTTGTAAACCGTCTAGAGAATATTGGAGGATTTTTGATGTTACTGAAAAGACAGCTAGATATTCGCATGGTACGGGTAGATTATGTCACAAGTGTAATTCCACTTTACAAGATTCGATAGTCCATTTTGGCGAGAGAGGAAATTTACCATGGCCGATTAATTGGAACGGTGCTTCTCGAGCTGCCAAGCAAGCTGACGTGATATTATGTTTGGGTTCTAGTCTTAAAGTTTTGAAAAAATATCCATGGCTATGGCAAATGGATAGGCCAGTACACAAACGTCCTTCATTATATATTGTAAATTTACAATGGACTCCTAAAGACGAAAACGCTGTATTGAAAATCAATGGAAAGTGTGATGAAGTTATGAAAAAAGTCATGACCCATTTAGGATTGGATATTCCAAAATATAATCGTGCAAAAGACCCGATATTTTTTCACGCTATAAGACTGCAGAACAGTGAATTGCCAACTACGACTCAACCGTGCTTGGAGGAGCCAACCGTAGCGGCAGTAAAAAAATCTCCGCGCCAAAGTACCGAGCAACCTATTGAGGATGCCGTACCAGAAACTAAAGAAACAGAAGACTGTATTTCTCCTATAAGCGTAACTGATTCTATAACTGCCTACTCAGCACCTTTCTTTACTGCATTGCCATTTTTATCTATGGGATTACCTTTCCCACCTATGTACATGTATCCTCAGTTAACTCCATTGTTTTATTATCCATTCATGCAAATACCCAATGCTAATTCAACAGAAATACCAAAACCTAAACCAGCTTGTTCATTTTGTATGGAACATGAAGGTTCCCTTACTTGCCTCTACTATCAGCGCGACGGAGACGATCCCGTGTTATTAGAAACTGAAAATGAACACATACAAGAAACGGAAAATGAACACATACAAGAAACGGAAAATGAACACATACAAGAAACGGAAAATGAACACATACAAGAAACGGAACAGTTAGTTGCTGATGCTCCATTAGCATCTGCTAAAAATCCTGGATGGTTTGGCAAAGGGTATCGTAAAGGTATGAAAAAGAAGCGGTAGCATCCACTCGAAACAGAACGGCACGTAATGGTTCCCCTTTTTATTATTATTATTATTATTATTATTACTGTACGCTAATTAAATGATGAATATTATAATAGCGTACTTAAGTATTTAAAGTCTTCATATCGTAACAACAAATATTAAACTTACACAGAACATTTTTCAATGTAGCGAGATTCCGTTCGAATGTTCAGTGCATGAATAGATTTGTCGAGATTATCAGTCAGTTTTAAAATAATAGATAGAAGCAATTTCAGTGAAATTGCTTTACATGTTCTTATTAATAAGATAACGTAGTCATCTATAGATGATTGAAAATCGAGAAAGAAATTATTTTATTATTGATATTAGTTACACATTTGATTTGTCGCATTAATTGCTGTTTTTTAATAACAAATTTTGGTTCAATCAATCTGAAATTTGTTTAATGTTTCTGTAAATTCATTATGTCTTAAACGTTATACATACATATATATATATATATATATATATATATATATATATATATTGAAATGATAAGAATTATTTTGAACTAGTCTACGATGCATTTTTTTTTATCATTATTTTTCTCGTACTCCACAAAGAATATTTGACAACAATTCAAATAAGAGAAACCAAAATGACTTCTTTGAACGAAAATCAAAAGAATTTCGAAAACATAATTAATTTACTCTTTTGATAAAAAAAAGAGAGAAAAAGGGTTAAACTTTTCGGACTAATTTCAATATACAAGCGATTTTACGTTGGAGGATGGATAACATGATATTATTATTTTTGATTAATTTTATACATCTACTTTATATAAATAACAAAAAGTATGTAATTTAAATTATTATTATTATTATTATTATTATTATTATTATTATTATTATTATTATTATTTTTATTGTTATTTATAAGAGAATAATCGTTATGTATTTTACATTGTATAAAGATCAGTATTTATCTCGTCATCCATCTCGATGAACATTTCGATAATTTTATCAAAATTTTTTTCTTCACATTGAAAGAAATCATCTTTTAATCGTTCCTCGATGTCATCGTGCATTTAAACAAAAATTTTTTTTTTTATGAAAGCACATATTGCATCAGTATAGAGTTCCGTCGATATACGAAGTATATTATTAGTATATTTACGTAATTTATATATAAAGGTACCATCGGGGAAGGAAGGAGGAATTGGAATAGTAAATCGAAAAAGTAACGTATAAATTGTAAAAATACACCCTGTTTGTTTGTTTTTTATTATTCCTTTTTCTTTTCTCTTCAATAAATTTAATTTATTTCTTATTTAACGCTTTCCGATATTTGTGAACAATATGTATTGCGCAATAATAAGATCATCATACTCTGTGGTGCGATAAGCCATTTCCTATCTTTGTACTTTGTTGTAGAAAAACGGAGCATATATACATACATATATACATACATACATACATATATATCAAGAGAGTTCCGCATTAGAATTAAAAAAAAAAAAAGAAACATTTTAATTCGTCAAAATCCTATTTTTTTACCGCTGAGCTCGCTTGATCATATTGCGTGACGGCTGAGATGCGATTTATGTTGTACATTTTGTGTATATTTTAATACATATATGATAACATTTATGTCTTCTTATGTGTACAATTATCGTTCAAAATTAATGATACATATATACATTAAAAATATAAGAATATTTAAATAGGAGATTAATCGCGTGCGAGTTCGTCTAACGCGTTAGCGTTAGATAAAACTTCTAATGATAAGCATTATAATAGCAGAAGTTTAGGATTCTGCTATCGTTTTTCTTAAATTCGGATCGATCTTGAAGTAAAATGAAAGAGAGATAGATTATGCGTTTTTGGAAGACCTCTCTCTCTGTGCAACAAGACAATGTGGGATGGTGGCCCGCATGTCCTCGTCGTCGTCGTCCTCATAGTGGCCGGTATGCCATCAGAACAATCGATTTACGTAATACGGAGAGTTATCGAAAAGAGGAGTGGTCCCTGCAGAAGAGGGAGAAAAATTAATAGACAGTTACAAATGGAACGTTTTTGATGTAACTGAAAATGATTTCGTTCCACAGTCAAATTCTGACTTATCTATAGGTATACGAGATAATTAAGATTATTATTTTTCCATATGTTTTTTCTTTCATACATTACTTTTACGCATTATATATAGGTATGTACGTAATAAAAAAATATATGAAGGAAAGAAGGATTGATAAAAGGGTAGCCATATTGGAACTTTGAAAATCCCTCGCGTCAGGAGTGTGTGTGAGGGACCTAGGAACTTTAAAATCGTTACTCCGGCACTGAGTAAAGAAGAAGAAGAAAATATACCAGGAAGGTCGAGGGGAAGAGAGAAAGAGCAAATAGGAAGGACGGATAAATGCATGCAATCTCGTCAATAGCTATGTAAGATAGAGAGAGAAAGAGAGAGGATAGGAGGTCGATACAAAAATGAGAGAGAGAAAGTAGTTGGGCACACGCAAGTACATATATACATAAGTACATATACGGGTGCATATAAATACATGCATACACGTTAACATATATCTTTTCTCCCTCTCACCTTTTTATCGTGCCTATGCCCTCGACGAATCTTGCGCGAGAAACTAATATCGTCGTTATTGTCACATTAAAAGGCGTGGATTTTTTTTCTAAAATGATAAACTCTCTTTAAAAGAAGGTAAAGGAATGAGTAATGCGTAAAGGTAATTACAGAGATAGAAAATAAAGGAAAAGTAATACGTAAGTAAGCAAGTAAGTAAGTCGTGTATGCAAGGTAGATATAAGGTTTATTAAGGAGCGGCGCCCCCGCACGGGATGTAGTCGCACGCTGCAAATCTGGCTTTAAACGTGGATACAACCGACAGTGTTAGCGGTGGTAACGACGACGACGACGACGACGACCCCGACGACGACCCTGACGAAGACGAAGACGACGACGACCACTTCAACGTTGACATTGATCACGACGATAATAACAAAGACGAAGACGACGACGACGACGACGAAGACGAAGTTTGAGACGAAAACGGCGGGAGCAGCGTTGGCTGCGACCCCGAGGAAGAAGAAAAGGAAGAAGAAGAAGAAACTAAGTTGGATAGGGACCAGGTGGAGAAGGAGGAGGAGAAAGAAGAGAAAAGAACGAGGAAACTCGGAGGAGGAAGGACTCTGCTAAAAAGGAGGAAGAACGTCGACGTGAAGCAGCGAGGATCGTACCGGTAAGTGAACGCAAAGCTTGTGTCTAGTGTAGTAACGCTTTCCTTTCTACTTGCTATAATTTGTGTATGTGTATGTGTGTGTGTATGAAAGACTGAGAGAGAAAGAGAGAGGAAATGAAAGATAGAAAAGTAAAGAGGACGACGCAGGGTTGTTCGAGACGATGGGTGTCCTTTGTGTGCGAGGGGTGCGGATTGAGCGACGCACAGTGAAATAGAAAGAGAGAGAGAGGGATAAGAGTAGGAAAGATAGGTTCGAGGGAAGGTCCACATTTCGTTTCCATGGTGATCATCCGCAACGTCACCCTACCTCTCTAGTACGCGAACTCAACGCCACAGACACGACATTCTAACGCGAACCTTTACTTTGGGTTCGACAAGTCGAGAGCTACGAAACAGGATTGCCGATGTTGTACTGATGCTGCCGATCCTAATAGCAGCTGATCTTTTTTTCTATCTCTCCAACGGCTGTTTAGTTTTTTGATTTCTTCTTCCCAGTCTTCTTTATTCGCATAGTATATATATATACGATTTATCGTCGTAAGGAAGGAGGGTAGGAAGAGGGAGAAATGAGAGAATATGAAAAGGTTCGGAAGGGTCCAACGATTTACCAGGAATTTCGGCGCGTTTTTCTATTGCAACGCGATCCGGATTCCGGATTTCACGAACAAAGTATTTGGAATAGCAGAAGGAATATCGAGGATGTCGATATTATGATACTAAGATATTTTACGAGAATGTATATAGCACCGGTACTTTGTACCCTCATCTTCTTCCTATATTTTCTTCTCATTGTTCTGTTCTTACTCAAAGAATTTTGTCTTATCGAAAAAATAGGAATTTTATTAATTTTTTGATTTTAATTTTGAAAAGATTTTATTTTGAATTTTAGATGTGTTGTCGTATTGCGATAAATATTCTCGAACTATTATAGAACTGGTTACTTATTTAAATTTGTAACAAGTTTGTTTTCGATTGGTAAAGTAATTATAGATAATTTTAATTCTCGTTCAAATGTCGTTATGTCGTTGCTTTATTCTTTTTTATATTTTAACTTTCTTTCTTTTTCTCTATATTTCTTTTATTCTTTCTCTTTGGTATAATTGATGATAATTAGTTGTATTGTTTGGCCCCTACTAAGTTGAGCGAGAAACGCGTACGAGTTTATGTTAACCTCTGCGCGTTCAAGAGCACTCCTTTTAACTCGCATAAATTACCGCGTGGTACGTCTCTCTGTTCGTTAAAATTTCTCGTTCGATACTATGTATGTCGTACGTACATATGAAAAGGTCGGATAAAAAGAAGATACGCGTTAGCAAGCAGTCGCCGTTACATGTCAGTAGGTTAGATTAATGAAGCTTATCTTGTACACTTGAAAACGAACAGCAGGGTGAATACACTATTTTTAAAACGCTTGGGAAAAATACAGATGCCATACGAATCTTTCGAAACGTTTACATTTTATATTTTACCGATACCCGTTTTCTACGTATGCATGTCTTACATTAGATCGTTATTTATTTTCAAAGCTTGTTCTGAAATGATTGCTCTCGGAGTATATACGTTAACACTAACTCTCCGTTTTACTTATTGAAGTAATTCGACTTCGTTAACATCGATTGATATAAATACAACAAACGCTCGACGAAAGTAATCGTCGATTTTTCTATTCTTTCGTTCAATCGTATCCCTTAACAAGTTTCATTTTCCCTTAATAGAAACGAGTTAAAACTGACAATGAGTACATATAGTGGAAGAGGAGAATGAGGAGGAGATCTGCAAGTTGTAGTTTTAGCAATACGACATGTCCTTTGTTCGTTCGTGATTCAAGATTATAATTCTTAACGATACAACAAACGTGTATCACGTGTATCACCATCTTAAAGTCATCGAACGGTTTTCTCATTACGTATTCTCGATACAGGCGTAGGTAGTCGCACGTGGAGTCATCGGATATTGCAGCCTCCTCTTCCTTTTCTTTCTCGAAAAATGTTAAAAGGAAACTCTGTAGTAAAAATATATACGAGGAGAGATCAATGAGGCGTTATATTATCTCCGAGAAAAAGGGCGTATAATTGTGAGGAATTATAAACGCGTTATCGCGTTGAAATATTTAGAGCAACAAATATATATATATATATATATATAAATCTGAAAGACAAAAAGAAGAACAGAGAATCCGTATATTTTTTTTTTTGATTTTGTACAATCTTATCTAATCTGTTCTATTTACTTTTCGTATCTCGGACGTACAAATCCTTGAGGGACACTCCATTGTTGGTTCAGTACAGTGCACGCACTCGTAGATTACATAGTTTCAAAACGTACCTTTGGTTATTATATTCAAAACGAAAATATAAGAACAAAACTAGACAATGTATCGTATCGTTTAAATAACATATCAATGATCAATAATTATCATAATCGATGTAAGATCAAATTCCTAAAGAAAAACAGCGATTTTTGATACGTAAGGATACTCGAAGGAACGAAAAAAGAATTTGAATTAGCGCGCGGTTGACGAAGAGGGCGCAGCGATCGTTGCAGTAGACCGGAGCGTACTAAGCGGCCGTGATTGGTAGCTCGAAGTTCGGTCTACGGTAGCCGCAGTCGGCGGCTTCGCGTCTGCGTTCGTCGTTCGTGTTCGTGAACGAAGAGGAGTTTCTTCCGCGTCCGTAGCGCGCCGCGGAACCGAACAAGCAGACGCGAAACCGAATTGAGTAAGGGAGTACGTGTTTGGGTTGAAAGTACGGTGACGAAGGTGACGGTGATGGAGGAGTAGTAGTAATAGTAATATAGTAATAATAATAATAGTGTATATAGTAGCGGTCGTTAACCGCAGGTATGCCTTCTTCGTTTTCTTAGTTTGTCCATGTCATTATTGTTTTTTTCACCGATAATCACGATTTCTTTATTATTCACGGAATCGATAAAGATATTTCGACGTGATCGAGGTGAAGTGTGACATACGAGAGAGTAAAGGGTTGGAGAGAAAGGGCGAGAAAAAGGATAGATAAATAGATCAAAAAAAGAACAAAGAATCAACATAAAAAAAAGAAGAAAGGAAAGACACAATAACGGAAACGCGAGGTGATACAGGAAGACTAAGAAAAAGAAGAATCGTGGATGCTCGCGGGCGCTCGCGCGCGCGCGTGCAACGAAGAAGAGGGTAGGGAGGAGGAAGGTTCGCGAGTCGTCGGTGTGTGTGTGGTTGGTGGTGACGACGACGCGTCTCGAGCGACGTCCTTCGCGAGGACACTCGGCGGCGGCGGCGTCCTCGAGTCGTCGTGATGTGACCAGTGTGCTCTTTCGCCGGTGCATATATATAATTCCTATCATAGAACTAAAAGAGAGTTACAAAATATAAAAAGAATAGAAAACAAAAAGAAAAAGAAGAAGAGAAGGATAATCCTCGTTGGTTGAAGGATATTTGCAATCCACACCGCGCGTTCAATTTGTCCCTCGTATCTTTCATCTCTTTCGTTGACGCGTAGCAATGGCGCGGGGCTTTAGCTGCCGCGAAGAGACTACGACGACACGTAAACGTATAATAATAATAATATCGGATACCGATGATCGGTGATCGTAGTTGGGGAAAAATATTATTTCCTATAACTTTGGTATGGTCGTGTTAGTAAAGAAGGAAGAAATTCGCGCGGAAGTACACCGCCAGTTGGACGAGTATCATCCTCGTCATTATCATTGGCATCAACAACAACACCAGCGACAACAGGAGTGCTATCGTAGACCCTATTATCATCATTATCATCATCATCATTATCAGCAGCATCATCATCATCATCATCATCATCGGCACTGTTACAAAGTCAATTTGCGGAAGAACGTGTACGAAGAAGACAACGACGGCAACTACGATAACGACGAGTACGACAACGACGACGACGACGACGACAACAGTGACGGAGGTGGAGGAGGTGGAGAGGACGGAGGAGACAACGGTTGTTCTAGGATACGAGCCGTGGTGTCGTGGTGAAGCCGTCATGAGACGTATCAGTGGTAAGCCGATTCAATTTCACTACGTGGATTAAACCAACGATCCTCTTGCTTTGCAGATAATAAGAAGAGAAAGAATCTTCTTATATATTATTTAATCACATTTTTATTTAAAATATATTCGTCCTTTTTTAAATCTCGATTAAAGGATTTTTTCTTTTACTATGATTAAAAACAATTATATTCGTTAGGATCTTAAATAACTTACCTTTTGGGGGGGGGAAATAATATAGGAATCCTTATATATTTTAAAACATAGTAAAATAGTTGTGTCGAGGAAAAAGGAGAGGGGAACGGCATTTAGAGAAGACGGCCGGTGAAATCAGCTTTCTAGTTCGAGCGTGTACTTGCGAAGGATACCGTCGCGAGACGATGGTTGTAAGAGAGAAAAATATATATATATATATGTATATATATATATGTATATATATATATGTATATAGGTATATACAGGTTAAGCAAAAAACGCGCTCGAGCTAAAACTCGGAACTGTCACTCGTCCTTCGACTTTCATAAACGTCGGTACTATTTTATTGCTGATTATTATTCTGTTGCTTCAGGAGTCACC